CGTATTTCTAACACTGTTAGTAGTTTTATTGTGAGGTCAGTGATAAACGTATTCTAACAATGTTACTAGTTTTATTGTGATGGGTCTGCAGATTGAAAGCCAAAGACACTTTGCTATTTCAAGTGTTATCCACTTTATAATATCCAACTTTGGTTTATCTACTACCCATAATACTGTGTTTTACTGAGCTTATAACTCAGAAACGTATAATTCGTTCAGTGGTATTACGTGGTCTGTCAGTTGTGTTTTTCTATTTTAACCCTTCTTATCGATAGGTTTAACTTTTCAATAAATCAGAAGTTCTTAAAATGATGTAACTGAAAATTTAACGAATATCTATTTTTGTTTGTTTCACTTGCTGTTTTTTTTTCTATTCTGCTATTAACATATTGTATCGCTATCATGCTCCAAGATAATAATGATTTATGGTTTATCATTTGGAGTAACCGAGAGAGGAGGGTTTTGTAAAATTTAGTAGAGTAATTTCATTTTGGAGATGTTACTATTTTTGTATGGGGATCAACTGGTTGATAGTATTGTAGTAAAGACACCAATTTATGAAATAATACTTTTTGTGGGCTTCATCCTCTGAAAAAAAAAATGTCGAACACTATCCCAAAGCGCCACTTGGTGGCCTTTCTTTCTCTGTAGATTTTCCAGTTGATATTAATTTCATTAATAAATACGCCTGTTTTATAACTTTTTATCACACATATCAAACATATTTCTTTTTTGATGGTTTTTTTAGCATCACCAAAGCTACCAAACACTATCTCAGGACGCCTTCTGGTGGCTAATATGGTGATATCAAACATATTTCTTTTTTGATGGGTTTTTTAGCATCACCAAAGCTACCAAACACTATCTCAGGACGCCTTCTGGTGGCAATATGGTGGTTAGGAATCATTGTTTTGATGAATGCATTCAGCGGACACATGAAGGCCAGCATGATGGTGAAGGCAGACTTTGACAGGATCGACTCTCTGAAAGACTTGGCATTGAAGTCGAAAATAATTCCTCTAGTATGGAAAGGAACTGCTTACGAGTCTTATCTAGAAGTAAGGTGTAGGATATGTTAAAGTCAGACAATTATGTTTAAAATCAAAGGTTTTTATTTTTATCAATTAGGTTAAAGTATTTTTACATTTAAATATAAAAATAAACAATTAATTATTGGTTACCATATCATATCAACATGTGTTTTTGTTAATAATTCAACCCCTTTATAGTATAACATTATTAATAGCCAGTTTGTAAGATAAGACATCTATGTTTGCCCGACTTTTGAGAATGTGATAAACTCGCTTTACATTTTACAATTCTTTTCCAGCCAAGAAAAAGGATGTTATAATATGTTCTTCCTGAGTATGAATCAACTTTTAGATTAAAATCTGTTGCACCGTTGCCAGGTTATAGCATTTTCAACTTTGCTTGTACAGGCATAAAGTTATTAGTCTTTTTTGACTATTATTCGTATGTATTTGGGTTAAACGTGCATTAGAGGCTTAAGAAATGGATACAAGGCATGTAGAAGAAAATACAAAACAATATAGAAACTCCTGAGTCATTAACATGTCCTATCAAGTAGGAAGATTGATTTGGATGACATAACTGACATTCGTATCAAGTAGGGAGATTGATTTGAATGACATAACTGACATTCGTATCAAGTAGGGAGATTGATTTGGATGACATAATTACATTCGTATCAAGTAGGTAGATTGATTTGGATGACATAATTGACATTTGTATCAAGTAGGTAGATTGATTTGGATGA